GTACTAGTTATTAGTTAATTTAAGTTTATTAGTATGTACATATATATTAGTAAAATAAACACATGTATGTTGCATACAGCTGTGTATAATTTTATTTAAGTTGGCTTATATTGCTTACGACTAAGTAGCTCAAGCTTATTCCAAAATTATCCAAGTATCTCAACACACTGAAAAGGCTGGCGACCAGTGTCTTATAAGCTCCTGAACATTGTCATAAAAAAGTAGGAGTTAAAAATAGCGGGTTGGGTGTTGCAAGAGGTGGGGGAGCGTATACAGTGGACCTCCGGTAATCCGACAAATTATATATCCAATGGTAAGATTACATATATATGTTATGTATATGTATGTACTTTGAAATACAAATCATACATAGTTTATGTCGAATTTAGTAAATTAAATAACAATAGAGAGTTTACGTTTTATTATCAAATTAAGCATAAATGCACATACATACGTGCCAAAATAATCAAGAATTATTAATCAAAATCATTAATGAATTTATCAGATTATGAAGCTTGGAAATATTCATCAATTTTTTTTGTTTAAGGTTGTTATAACGCGAGATCAGAGCTTTGTCCCTCAGTCTTCTTAAAAGTAAAAGTTCGTTGTAGGATGTACCATTCTCTTCACCCATTGTAAACCTAGCTCAAAGGCGTTAATTGCGTCTTGTGCTGTGACTCGTGGAACAGTTGCAATCACGTCATCGTTATTTTCCTGATTGTTTGTTGTATAATCAGAAACCTCTTTTATAATCTCTTCGTCAGACATTTCATGAAAAACATTTTCCTCTTTATCCATTCCACGGCACCAGATTTCCAAATCTTCCGGACTTATCTGTGTTTCAGTAGCGACTTGTTCTATAACTTCCGAAGTAACACTGATTTGTGGAACGTTGGTAGGAGTGGTGATTATATCTGGCCATAACTTTTTCCAAGACGATTTAATACTTGATGACGGTAACGCATTCCACGACTGACAAAGAGCAAAAACCAAGTCTTTCATATTAAATTCTTTTAAAGTTTTTTCTATTGGTTCGTCTTTTGATACGGCTCTCAGAAGTAGGTTTTTCTTATAGTCTTGCTTGACAAACCGAATGATATTCTGGTCCATTGGTTGAATCAGTGCAGTGCAATTTGGCGGAAGAAACATCGCAGTGATGCATTTATCCTTAGTTGTTAGTTCTTCTTCAGACGGATGACCGGGAGCGTTATCAAGAAGCAACATCGCTTTTTGAGGAAAATTATGATCTTTTAACAATTTTCTAACTTCAGGTACGAAGCATTCATCAAACCACTTTTTGTAAAGGTCTTTTGTCATCCATGCACTTTTTTGTCCGTAATAGTGTACAGGTAAATCAATGTTTTTGAATGCCCGTGGTTTATTAGATTTCCCAATGACCATCATCTTAAGCGCGTGTGTGCCCGCAACGTTAGCACATGGTAGTATGGTTACAAGCTCTTTACTTACTTTTCGTCCAGGTGCGGATTTTTCGTTACAAGAAACGATAGTTTTGTTGGGCATCACACGCCAAAAAAGCCCTGATTCGTCTGCATTGTACACCTGTGACGGGTCAAGATTTAAATCGTTCACCTTTTGCAAAAATCTTAATTTAAAGGACATCGTTAGGAAGTTTCTCTCCTGTAATAGCCATTAATCGTATGCCATGATGACTTATAAAACGTTTTAGCCATCCTTTGCTGGCCACAAAATCATCTTTTTTTGTTATTTCCTTATAAAAAACTTAGCTTTCATGGCCGAAATGGGTCCTGAAATTGGTGCATGCCTGAAGAAACCACATGTACAAAGCTTTTTTCACTTCTGGATGTTCAGCTTTCTTGAGTGTCTGTCTCTTGCCTGGCCCGCAGTCAGTAGTTGACACGGACTTCTTAATATTCTCGTGGTTTCTTTTAATAGCATAAATTGTAGATCGGCCTACGCCGTATTCACTTGCTAATCTACTGAAAGTTTCATTGCGATTTAAGCGGTCTAAAATATCACATTTTTCTTTAATTGTCAATGTTTTGTGCTTTAGCTTCTGAGTTTATGATGACATTACTAGGTACTATACTTAATACACAATGAATAAATAGTAAACAATGAACGCACGCTAGGCCGTACCGCTATCACCAGTAGTCAAATTAAAACTTCAAGCAAAACAATGCTTACGCGTCGAGCACGATAGCGGTGGCGCGTACAGGTTGTAACCTGTTCAAATCTGCGTGATCTACATTAGCGAAGATTGTCAAATACGTACGTATGTAATACATATTCAAAGACATGTCAGATTACAGGGGGCGCCGGATTAGACAGGGGCCGGATTATCGGGGGTCCACTGTATCTCAGTTTGTTGATCTAAGTATATTTCTACGCTTCCAACCGCGGTAGTTCTACCTACCTATTAGCTATATTTCACACATGTCTTCGATACGCGTGCCGGTATGGTTGACGGTTCTATCCATACTGCCGCGCATATATGGGAAGGAACAACGTTGCCAGATGGACGATAACTACTGGTCGGGCTATGGAAACACTGTATGGGACTATTTGACTGACTTGATCCGTGCAATGTTCCTGTTGTACATATTCGTGACTGATTTTTTTTCCCAGAGGGTTTTTGTGCTGAACTTAATACTTGATGAGCCGAGGATGACGTTGCCTATGAAGTAAAGGGTCAACCTACTTCATGTCACTTTCTAAAATTAACCCGCAGTCTAACAACTAAAAATGTGCCCCTTTCTTAAACGATAATGTAACACTGGAGTGCATTGAAAAAAACTATTTATCTACCGATTGCCAAGCTATTTACCATAAAACCACAGTAATTGATAGACAGATATGAAAAAAGAAACATATAATTCATTCAAAAGTGTACAACACGAACGTAGACCGAGAATAGCGCGAGTAAATAATATTTACAGCCCGTTTTACAGATATTGTGGTAAGAGAAAGTGGGCTTGATTTTAATATTATGAAAATAACTCTGTAACGAATTTATAATACCTAATCATAGATCAAAAACTCTATTAATATTAATTAGCAAATATTTCTGGTTAGAGCTGGCGTTAATTGTTAATCTCGGGGCAATCTGATCTAACTTTGTGAAGGTCGCTAAGAAAAGCTATTTCGCAGATATCGTTGACTCGGACATGTTATCGCAAATTTCGATCAAACAATAAAAATATGGTGGCCTTATTTTATTCGGTTCAAGGAATGAAGGTATAAAGAACTATACCTGAAGAGGTTGACAAATCAAAGACCGATAGAGCAAAGCTGAGGAGTGTAAGGAAAGGAGGTGAACTCTTTTGTATGAATCATCTTCCGATGAGTGGCCCAGAATAATAAGAAATACTCCAAAAGAAAGCCTTTGATTTTTGATTAGTCACTAATGATTTGGGGTGCCAAAAGTCACAAGGAGCTCAGTCAAAGAATGGGTAAGAAACGAGCCCAAACACTTAGTGACTGGTTGCAGGCAGAGGGAACAATTTATCTCGGGACCATGTTCAAATATGACTGCTCTCAATGAGTTGAAACCAACTCCATGTAATTGCATGACATCTAGCAGGAAATAATGGCCTGAAAGAATACTTGCATCTAATAGAGCTGTATGGCAGTTGTGCAGACAATGCGGAAAAGGAATAAAATTAGCCGTACATGTCGTAAGTGCGAGGCGCTGGATCACCAAAGACATCAACACTTCGCGAAACCAAAATTAGAGCTGAGGGAGTTTAGGACAGTACAGTACCGGAAAACAAACTTTACAACTGATATAGAATACTAGACTGCTGTATTGGATACCTTTAATCGGAGACTTTGGTTGGACGGCTCATGGAAGCAAAAAAATCAGTTAGGGCATACCTCCAGAAAATAGGGTTGAAAATGTATTACCTGAAACTTAACCTGTGGCTATAATGCTGAAAGGATTCGATGGTTGTCTAGCTGCTAGACGGTTTAATTTATCGACCAGACAACCATGTACATATGGTTAGAGATGTTAAGCCCCAGTGCTGAAAGCGCGGAGAAACTGAAAAAGAACTTGCAAGGCATGTTACCTTTGTCCTGTTCTGAGCGGCAGAATGACCTAAATGACAAATTAAGATGGAAGACAAGGATTGCAAAATTCATCATGAACTTGAAATGAGGTTGTCTCATACCTATGATTAGGGTTACACAATACGCCCTATGACTGAATGGTAACTATTATATGTTAGTAAGTTCCTATTGGCGTAAATTTCCTGGAAATATCTGTGTTTTTGATTAATAATAGAGGTGTATTTGGTCTAGAAGTCCTTACCATGGATGCTTTATGAAGCAAATTCCTATTGAAACCACTTTTGGACTATCAATATGAGTCAGTGTGACAAAAGGCAAATGATCGAACAAAATAAGCTACTATTGTTTCATTCCTCTAGAATGCTCGAAAGAGTTAAGATAGGAAAACAATAATGATTCATTATCAAACGTATGCTGAAAATGACTATCTAAAATAGCTGCACTCACGAGAACCACAAAACCTAATGTTACCTTGAAACGAGTATTTAAAAAATAGTCGAAACGCTATAGGTACAATTGAATTGAATGACTTTATAGGATCGATGTTGCTTCGAAACAGATAGTGGGTAACTAATTATGACTTTCACATTCTTTTGTTTTCTTACTTCTTAACTTGTATTGGTGGATATATTCTGTACAGGGTATATGTGTTTGTTGATGGGGAAGAATTTCATACCTTCCGCCACTGGCGGGTGCGGGCGGGCATTTTTATAATTTTTGTGATATACGCCTAAAGCTGTGGTAATTCTATGCACTTTTTAGACATATTTTACTCATCATAGATTTCTCCATTCATTTATCCTTAAAAGTCGTCGAACCGTATGGAAATATTTCCTACCCTCGCGGGTCGATCGTACGCTGCCGATGCAGGATGACCACAGGCCTGACATTGGATTCATAGACAAAAAGGAGAAGTCTGCTGTGATAATAGATATAGCAATTCCCCTTACTATTAACCTGAAAAAAGAAGAAGAAAAAGTATCAGGACTTAGCCATTGAAATGAAGGGCTTATGGAAACTGAATAACGTAACCATTGTTCCCATTGTCAGAGAAGGAGTGGTAACACTTCCAGCGTGGATGAGAGAAGAAAAGGAATAATAATAATAGGATTTATTTACAGGTATCAGTACAAAAACATAATAAAAAATGCACAAATGTACTAAAACAAAAAAAGCAGCTGCAAAAAGGACTAGTAGGTAGTCTACGGCTGATAAAGGTACCACATGCTAATTGCAATTAAATATCTTCACCTAAATGGAATAATAACTAAGAATAAAATATTGCAAAACACATTAAAAACAAATACATATACAAGGGAAAGAATCTAAAAACATCTAGCTCATATGTACTGGCAGTTCAATCCGAATATACACATAGGAAGCGAGCGTAAAAGATCGCTCAATTAACTGGAGTCAAAGAGCTTTTGCATGCATTTTCAGCCATCCTGCATCAGGAAATTTATGGAAGACAGGCTCATATTTCCGCACTCCAAAAATCAAACTCAGACAGTAGCTTTGCACCTTTTGTATACGGTCACTGTCACAGGGCCCATACGTTACATAACAATAATTAAATTAAGATAAAGCAACACAGTAAGATTTCAAGGTTGCTGTCAAGAATATGGCGGTAGGTATACAGCAATTAATTTGAGTTCACCATAACAGTCGCTAATACAGCTATCAATGTGTTTTGTAAATCTTAGGTCATTGACCAAAGTCAATCCCAAGTTCCTAGCATCATTTGCGCGTGGAATAATCTTATTGTCAACTGAAATTTCATATGTACCTTCAACATCATTTTTATACTTATTTTGATAACCAACTTTTACATAGGAGTTTACTTACAATTCGCGTTTCTGCAAAAGCCATTAAGAGCTGATTTATTCGAAATGTAAGCATCTTATTGCTAGTAGGATCGTATCTTGGCGAATCCCAGACGGTAGAACCGAAAGAAACAAAATAAGAATTTATGCCAGCTAAGCGAGATCTGATATCATACATAATTCAATATGCAAAATCTACTTTTCAGCTTTATCGATCCTTAATTTTCTTTTATTTGATAGACGAATCCCCAAATTTCCATTCGTAGCGTAGAAGACAGACAGCGTATAGAGAGACTGCTCCATTGCTAGTATACACCTATCATTTAGATTAATCTGAATGTCTGCTAGTGTAGAATAGACCTCCCCGTTCTTCGCTGAAAAGGATTTCATCGTGTATATAATATAACCCTTTACATAGTGAATATATACCTTTTTCAAACTTTTGAAAAAGTATAACTTTGAAGTTTTAGAAACTGTAACTGGAAAACGTATGTACTCGTAATGAGTCTGGGCGTGCTAAGAATCCTTGCTTTTAGCCATTTTAGGTCGCTTATTGCTCTGAAGCTGTCGGTGCCATCTTAGCCCTTGTCAAATAAGATATTCCTTATTATACAGGGTGTTTCAGAACTATGGAATCAAACTTGTAGGGGTTATTCAGTGTAACAGTAGAAAACATTTGGGTATAGGGATCCATATTCGGCGCTTGTGTGTTGTTATCTTTAAAAACGATAACAGAGATTGTTTTTTGTAGCTGCATTCCATATCGCCTTAGTCGTGCTATCGTATTTGTGAAGTTTGCAAGAATTTAACAAAAATTAATTGTTGCTAATGGAAAACTTTACCAATCAAGAATTGTAGGATATGCATTTGGCATACGGAGCAACAAGCTGCAATGCACTAGCAGCAGCGCGGTTGTATCAAGAACGTTATCCCGAACGACAGCATCCGGGATACAAAAAGTTTATTGCTATTCATCGGCGGCTCTCCGAGACAGGCATGTTTAAAATCAACATGCATGATACTGGTGCTGCTCGAACCGTAAGAACGATCGAATTTGAAGACGAGGTCCTTCAGCGAGTTGCCGACGAACCATGAAGTAGCAGCGCACGTCACATTGCTGAGGATATGAATGAGTAACGCTTCCATCTGGCGGGTGCTACACGAGCAACAACTTTATCCTTACCAGTTCCAGAAAGTTCAAGGATTGGCTGCAGCCGGTTATCATCCTATTAGAGTTCAAGTTTGCCAATGGCTCCTTCATCAAATCGCTGCACAACCAAATTTTTTATGGACCGATGAAGCCTCTTTCACACGAGACGGAATTTTTAATAGTGGGAATAGCCACGTTTCGGACATAGAAAATCCCCATGCAATTTTTCATAGAAAACGTCAGCAACGTTGGTCTGTCAACGTATAGGCAGGCATTGCTGATTATTATTTGATTGGGCCATACCTTCTACCAGAACGGCTAACAGGACCTATTTACCGGCGTTTCTTGGAGGAAGTTCTTCCAGAACTTCTTGAAAATGTTGCATTGAACGTTCGACAGCAAATGTGGTTTCAGCATGATGGTGCGCCGGCTCACTTTGCTGTACAAGTACGTGAGTATTTGGCTCAGCGGTTTGGGCACCGTTGGATTGCCAGAGGTGGAGCAGTTTCTTGGCCTCCTAGGTCAGCCGATTTAACGTCGCTATATTTTTTCCTGTGGGGACATGTAAATTCTTTGGTTTACGAAACAGGGCAAGACTTAATTGGACGAATTAAAGCAGCATTTGAAGTCCGCCGAAATCATGTGCGACGTTTAAATCGGTGTATTCAGGTTAGTGGAAGACATTTTGAACAATTGTTGTAATTATATCATGTACAAAAGGCAGCAATTAAATGCATTAAATCCTATTTAGGCAATTCATCGTCTTTCTAAATTTTAACGCGTCTTAGGGCCGTAGTGCCGTACTGACACTTTTCCGGATATGGGTCCCTATACTCAAATGTTTTCTACTGCTACACTGAATATTCTCTAGAAGTTTGATCCCTTAGTTCTGAAACACCCTGTATTCCTGATCGTTTGTATAACTTTTTAGAATGAAAATTTTTGGGTTTCGGTCAACGTGAACTCATTTTATTTCATTCGTACGAGTATATCGTTTCCGTCATCCTTGCCATCCTCAAGTCAATTGAGTATAATAATGATGAGGGCATTGAGACGAACTGATACACAAAATCCGTATGGCCTGGACGATACTTAAATTATAGTTTAAATGTCCCCACAATATATAAAGCAAGTGTCGTATACAGTTTAAGTGATCCTGCGATTTTGCTATTAGATATTAAAAATATACCTGATAACCTAAAAAAAGGTGAGAAAGATTCTTTTGGAAAATAAATATACACATTTCATTGATATTACTATTAAGAAAAAAACACGTAAAATCATAATAATAAAGTGAATAGGAACAATATTAAAAAATACATATCGATGCTGTATGTCTTGGGACTTTTTGAGAATATTAAAAAAGTATATTCTAAGCATAGTATCCAAATAGCCCGCAAAACCTGATATCACCACAGGCACCATATTCCAAAAATTAAATCCACGCACCAGTAAGGAAATACAAATAATTCTAATATTTGAAATAGCATGTACGAAAGAACAACTTTAGGAAAAGAATATACAAGCATGTGTATGACATAAAAAATGAAAATTCAAATACCACTGCATTAAGTCAACATGTCATAGAAACCACCATTCTATTTCGAAAATGCAAATATACTGATATAGTACAAGATTGGCAGATCGGTAGTTTTTTAAGTCTCTAATGATATGTGTCTTGTTTCTGCTTTGCATTTTTTTTTACCTTTTTTGTACACATATGGTTGCACGAACATTCCAATTATTGCTCACAGACCACTGGTACTACTTGCACTCATGTACGCATAAAAATCTTGAAAAACGGGATGATTAACCCATTGTAAACTAATTTTTTTTTAAACCAAGAATTTTAAACTTATTGTTCAATGTACGGATTGTGTATTACGTGTAATTGTATTGTACTATTTAGTAAGAAATACCTTTGGACGCTTTTAATATTTTTCAGGGCATTTCATGTACCTGAGGATGGCCTAGATGGTTAAAACGTGTAAGAAGGTAATAAAAAGAATTCACGTTGACCGAAGCCCAAGAATTATTCTTCTAAAATCTTATCAAATGATGTATATGTCGGCATCAACCGCTGAAATCCGTCATTCCCTGAAATGCCTAACCAGTCTCCGTATTGCCGGCAAACACCGTAACAGTTTGATTATTACAACGTTTGACTAAAGCTTTGTCATTCCCTGTAATGACTGAACAATTTTAGTCAAACACCGTAACAACCACATCATCTTCGTTAGGTATTGCATTCGCCTATTTTAGTCAAACGCTGTAATCAATACAGTGTTGCTCCTATGAAGTACATAATATAACAAGGTACTACTTTATCAGTAATATTGAAAGAAATAATCAAGCATGAATAAAAGGAAAGAAGAATAGATTAAAACGTTGTCTTTATTATTACATTATTGTTTTTTAATCGAGTATTTATGTACGAAATCCGGCAACAATGGATGCTGCTGTTGAGCAAGCCTTTGTACGTTATAATTTAGGTTAAGTTCACAAATTATAAAAATTAACTTACCTTCTTTAACTCATTTGTATTCCATGGTTTTTTATTATTCACACTGTCATAGCTGCACACTTGCTGCGACATCTTTACAAACACAGAAAAGGCAAAGTGTATATTCAATCAAATGAACACATACCTGGTACAATGAATGACTGAATCAAGCAAATGCAGTAACGAGGTTTATGCGGTTGTTACGGTGTTTGACTGAAATTGTTCAGTCATTACAGGGAATAACTGAAATGTAGTCAAACGTTGTAATAATCAAGCTGTTATGGTGTTTGCTGGCAATACGGGGACTGACTAGGCATTTCAGCGTTTGACGCCGACATATACACAAATCCATTTCTTTCATTCATATGGAAGCAGGGTGGTTAGCTATTTTATAAGTAAATAACTTCTTGAGATCATTTTGGAGAAAACCACCAAAACAACGAGGACAATACCAGCAGTATCTTGTGTCTCAACATATTTGTACCTGTTAAAATATGCAATATTGCACGTTACTGGTTTTAGCAACGTTGCGTTGTCTGATAGGTTAGTTTGGAATACCATATCGGGTGACAGTTCGAAGTCACTGTTGTATGGTATACGATAGAATAAGTAATGTTCTGTGATCTGACGTGTGCGGGAATGTCTATCGAACTTCCTCCATAATACCTAGTAAAAATATAGTAATTTCACCGGCATCGCCTTCAGTTTTATTTCTCTTATCCCCCAAGGCTTCTAATAATTGCCAACAGTACCTATGTAATAGATTCGATACTAAAATTGTTTGGTTTTTAAGATGTAATTCCTTACAACCACCCGTGTGACCTATTTTCCACAAATCGGCTTCTTCTCGCGCTTAATGAAATGTATGACTTTAGTGAAATGCTGGAAAAGGACTGTGTAGCATGACAGTGAAAGCCATTAAAGCAAACAATTGATTGATTAATTGCCGAAGCAAAATTTGTAATGACTTTAAGTAAGGTATGAGGTTGAATTTTTATTCACACTGATTGACAAACTCATGTGCTGCCGTCATCTCCATCAGTGCTACCATCTCTCTGACCTTCACAGATCGGGGTGATTTTGTAAAACCCTACACGTATGTCGGTTTCTGTATAAATTTAGAAAAGAGTTCTGAGCCATCACAGGTCGAGCGTCGAGCATACAACCAAGCAATCGCAATGGTATACATTATAGCCTGAATTTCACTGCGCGACATCGCTTGTTATTTGCTAAACTAGTCCCTTGAAGTCGGTGTGACCTATATTTGATGAGTGATGTTTTCACTGGAATATATGCTTTCACCTTGCTTATATTTATAAAATATATTAAGGAAATAATCATTTCCCGAGATCTGCCTGGGATTCCGGCCGCACAATGACCGAACATAAACCACAGCTTATCTGCCAACGGAAAGTGTTAGAGTGAGCTCAACGTTTCACATTCTTAGGGTACAACTTAAACGAGGATTAGAATCACTCTAGAGAAATTCGCATTAGAATTGAGAGCTTAATGGAATGAAAAATGTTCTTTATGATCGACTGTTATCGATATAACCTATCATCAGAATTGACCACTGGGGAAGTGGAAACAGCAAGATGTCTGCTGGAACTGTATGCTGCTAGAAGCCGCAGTGGTGACCCAGCTGACCATGTAAACATACAGCTCCAGCAGACAGTTTACTGTTTTCACTTCCACAGTGGTCGATTCTGGTGATAGATGGCACTTTGTGCTGTCTTATTTCGATAGACTTTTATACCCTGGATATAGTAGACTTGCTCAGCCTTCGCTCGCTGGCCATCGAGGCCAAGCCTACAACATGCTGACGAGTTACCAAATAGTACGAGATAGCTGTTCATGTCATGTGTTGTCCACTTTACTGTACAGAGTGGAGGCGTGGACTCTGACAAAAACAGGCAGAAAGAAGATAGCAGCATTCGAAAAGTTGTGTTACCGCAGGAAGAAAAAATAAATCAAGAAGAAACGCCGTTAACTAGCATACTTCTGTCACATAATAAAGATGTATAAATATCAGATTCTTCAGGTCATATTACAGAGCAACTTGAGAAGAAAGGTGAGAGTATCGATTCCATCGGTTCGATCCCAACCTCAAAACCGATCCAAAAAATACCATCGATCTCGATACAAAGGATCGACATCGCAGTAGGAACCTGTTATCAAATTCCTGTAGTTATGATTCCCCAATCCGTACTGGATGGTTTCGATACAAGCATTAACAAAAGTTCACCTGGTTGATTTTTGACGAACTGTTGGAAAACATACTTATGTGGGTTCAGATATCACTTCTAATTCGTAAAACTCCGAATGAAGAACGATCCACTGTGTATACTGTCTGTCCTGTGAGTATATTTTGCTATTGAACGATCACCAAGATTGTAGCATGAAACAGATCGGAAGGAGTGTTGGGGGTATCAACTTATATACCTCTGCAAGTGCTATGTTGATTGGAGCATTTTGACAATTATACAGTTTACAATCTCCTTTTATAAATCATATGATAAGTTGGACTACATATTTTTGTAGCAATCAGTGAGTTCATACTAGTTACGTACTTTGGCTCACTCTCTCTATATAATTAGTACTTTGCATCACGTTAGCGTTATTTCATATCCTTATACCGCCGCTGTTAGAGAACTTAGATTTATATCACAGACGTAACCTAACATGACCTACATGGTCCTTCAAAACAGTGGCTAAGCGTCCATGTAACCATTGTTACCATTGGTAACAGTTAAAAACCTTAAAAATAAATATTTTATGACTAGGTACTGTGAAATAATTTCATTTATTTGTTTACCAACAGCGATATGTAATAGTAATTCAGTAAATAGGAAATTAGCCCCACGAAAATAATGCGCCATATAGTGTCTACAGTATAATCAGATAAGAGATAGACCGGACATAAACAAGACCACGTGATCATCGAACGCTGTAACATTCGGCAGGGACGTATTAAGAGTCACGCAGTACATATTTTAGATAGTAGATGCTGCTTTGCGTAACTTTGTAGTAAATTAGCACAATTGGATGTGTATACGATTGGTGATGGATATAGGATCATGTGGGGGTGGGGTAAGAAATATATAATGATGTAAATATACATAAGGGTTTCAAAATTTTCGCTTCGATTTCCAGGTTCGGATGCCGCCTGATGTTTGGTGAAATACAGTCGAATATAATCTCAAAATGGCGTTTAAATTATCCTAAATTAAAAATAATCGTATATCTCTTAAAATTGCTTTTAGAATATTGATTAGTATATTTTTTGATTCCTAGGTAAATATGTAACCAAATTAAAACGTTCAAAACGTAAAAAAATGTGCATGGTTGAACATTGTCAGAAAGTAGATTCTTGAATAGGTTTTGCCAAAATGGGTTCAAAAATGTCAATAATTAATTAAAAAATACAGTAGCTTTATAATTACTTATAACTTACCGAATTTGATGAACGACATCTTTTATTGGAAAGATGAGCTTGATGAGCTTTCATCATCGCTACTGCCTGAAGCACCAACGTCAATAATGACTTGTTCCTCTAAAATATTGTCCAGTTCCCACATTCTCTTTTCAACTTTGTCTTTCACGTGCTTAATACAGTTTTCCCATTTTTGCGCTGTTATTAATTCTAGTGCTTCTTTGAAAAGTCCTTTGAGGTCACAAAATTTAAAAGTTGTATTGTGCTTAGCTATATAATTTTTAACCTCTGCCCATATGAGCTCAATGGGATTGAGCTCGCAATGGTATGGAGGTAAACGGAGCACAGTTTTATTTTGACTTGCTGCCATTTCGTCAATGGCGTATTTTTGATATTCCGCCTTGTGATCCTTGACAATTCTTAATAATTGTACTTTCAGCATTGCTTTTTCAAAGTTGATATTTTTCGAGCGGAGCCAATTTTGAACATCAACTTTCCTTGAAGCCGTTGTTGGGACCTTCTCCATTCTTCGAGAATGATAAGGCGCATTATCCAACACAATTACTGCGTTTTCCTCTAAGTTCGGTAAAATTTTTGAAAACCACTGTTCAAACGATTCGCCATTCATTTCCTCGTGGTAATCTCCAGTTTTCTTAGACTCAAAGCACCACAGACCGTCAACAACAAATCCATCCTCACTGCCAATATGGCAGATAATGAGCCTTTTCCCTTTACCTGGAAATCGAAGTACTAACTGGTTAGATTTATTTCAATAAGCGAACCTTTTTCAAATGTTTTCATCACATTCAGCGAAAAAACATTGAGACATGAGTATCAGATTGCTATAATTGGGATTATTTAGTCATATTGAAAGAAAGAATATTGAACGTCGTATGATTACTCAGCGCTTCACAATTTAATTTAAAGTTATAAACCTTTAAAAAATGAATGATCAGGAACCTGAAATACGCGCAAATATTAATATTAACAAATTATAACTTTATAAAGCTTAAAGTATGAATTAAAATGATTAGAAATATTAGGTACGGTACACAATATAAAACTTAGTAACTTTTTTTAAGTTTATAATATTCGACATATTTTAAGATTATATTAAAAAATTATTGAAATATCGAAAACACATAAAAACATGGCTTAAAAAAGTTCTAACAAATGAAAATGACAATAAAACATCCACGCATTTTATCGAAAGTTATAAAAGTTTTGTTACTTGTAATATGTTTTATCTGCCCCCTGGAATTAATGTTTAGAACCTTGTTCCCAAGGTTTGTAAAACATCCGATTGTTGTCTATTACTCGTATTTACCTGCTGGATTTTTTAATCCGGTGGACAGTCTATCTAGAAAGGCCCTCCTGGATGAAGTTACAGAATCATCAACCCATACTTTACTTGTAGTGTGTCCTGCGTTTACCCACATTTCATCAAGGTAATAAATCTTCCTGTTTTGATTTCCATATTTCCCAATTTTTGTTAAATGATCCCTCCTCCATAGCACAATTTCTTCTCTATCCAGTAGTAAACTATTACGACCCCGTTTTTTCCATTTGAAATTTAAATGCTTCAGTAACGAATGGAAAGTTGATCGTTTGAAATTTGGCAACGTTGTATCTTCATTTACCTCCTGCAGTACTTTATCTATAGTAGGTATTTCATTCCTAAAGAAGAATTCATGCACTTTCCTCCTAATCGCATGCTTATCAGCTTCATCCAATGATTTAACAATACTTTTGCGATGTTTACTGGTCATTGGCTCAGAAAAGGTGTGATTTTTTTTGTATTGTCTTAACACATTAAACACTGATGCGCGACACACCCCAACTTTGTGAGAAACCTTCACAATTTCTTGGATGGTTGATGCCTCGTTCTCCTCGCGCTCGATCTTATATATATTCAAAATGACCTCTTTCATTTCTGCACTCAGGTGTCTTTTTTTAGAGCGTTTCCTAGGTGGACTACAGGAGTTTACAACTTCATCGGCAGTATCTGTACTACTGGGCATTTTGCGCAAGCAGTTGATAACAATAACAATCAATAACAAGGTATAACAATAACAACGACAAACTCAACAACTTAATAAGATAACAAACGAAAACGTCCAAAGAAATATCAAATTGCAATGATGCACACGACATACGTAACACGTCTGAACCTGAATGTGACTCTCCCTTGATACGACTGCTCTGCCGCTCGGCATAGGCGTTTAATTGCGAATTGACCAATGAGGGCTCCTGTCTTACGTCGAGACGGCGGCGTTAGCGTGAAAATCACCCGAACCTTTTGTTTACATCCGGTCTATCTCTTATCTGAATGTACTGTAGGTTTTGCGAACACGATGAAGCTGACTCGCCTCGACTTGGTTGTCGGTTGTTACCATTTTCATGTATGGATACACTTGAAAGTCCGTCGGGGACGATCGGTACCGGCTCGTGTCTGACCGTGGTCGCCCGAGTGCGTGGGGCGCTGCGACTTTTATCTGGGCTTGTTACCATTTTTTTATTTGGTTACTCACGTCTCACTCGTTAGTAGCCGCTTTGGTTACTGGCTGTAGTGTGCGTGCAACTTAACATGGATGAGTGTCGCTGCGTGATCGATCAACTACTTGAAAAGTCATTCTCCTTGTATAATTTTTAAGAAAAAAAGGAGATCATTAAAAATGGAAGACCAACACCTATTTTAGATAATTTTAAAAAGGAATAAACAAACGTAGTTTGATATTTTAAATTAAGTTGGTATATGGAAACTCTTGGTAATGTGGTTGCAAAAACATATTGTATTGTTGGCGATGTCTTCTGTTTTATACAGAAAAAAATGGGTGGACCAGCAGCGGAGTCAACGATTTAAATAGTTTTAGGGCTCTAAAGAGGAGACATGAAATTTCTCCGTTACATGTGAGATGTGTAGCCAATTTAATTCAGTTTGGCAGAAAAAGAATCGAAAGTTGTCTTAACCAAGCTTTTAGGCAGCACACTTCTAGATACCGTATGTTTTTTGGCAAAACAGGAATTACCGTTCATTTTGAAGTGAATGACTTTGACAATAGAGGAAATTACAGGGAATTGTTAACATTCATTGCCAAGAAAGATCAAACATTTTCCGAACATTTAGAAACGTTGACTGTTTTTTCGGACGGCTTGGATTAGTCATAGCATAAGACGATGAGGTATAGTGCTCCAGACGCTCAGTCCAGGGATGTTTACCTTAATTTAAAAATAGTTTAAATAAAATACCTAAAATAAGTTAAAACTTATATTTGAGAGGTTCAAAATAAACTTTTTTTAATAAGATGTTTGACATCTGGTTTTGATAACAGTGTAGGAAAAGTCACGCGTTGCCACTGCTTCAAAATGAGCTTGTGTGAATATTTATATTTCATGACTTTATAAAAACAATTGTGTATTTTGTTCTCTTTGTTAATATTGTCTAATGTTAAATGCGTTGCGAAAAATAAATTGATTTATAAAAACTCTTGTTAGCTCCTGGCTAACTTAATTTACTTGAGCTTGAAGTATTTTTTGACTCGATTGTGGGGGTAAACTGATAGCAAAGGAGTAATTTACTATTTTCGTCGCCACTATTTGTTTCCTAAATGCTTTATAGTTTACTTTCTTCTATATTACTAAGCCATTTTTCACTTCTTCTTCAACTTTGTTCAATACATCCTACATACATCAATCATCCCACAACGTCAACGCGGGTGTTTACCAGGGATCGGTCTTGGCTCCGACACTATTCCTCTTACATATCAATGACCTCCTTTCCTGTACGATCAACCCAATCCACAGCTTTGCTGACGATAGCACTCTACGTGCAGGAATTCAGAGCGACAAGCCGATCTCTGCCGCTGGGCTGAAAAAAAGAAGACTAGCGACGACTTCCTGTCTGACGAGAGACCTGCTTGAGGACGCAACAATCTTGTACAATTTGATGCTTCCAAAACACAGTACTGTAACTTGATGAACAAAAAGCGTCCTAGCGCTCATCTGGTATCGATGAATGGCCGAGTTCTGCCAAAGAGCCGTTCATTTCGGCTGGTCGGAGTCCAAATTACCGAGAAGTTGATCTGGCACGAACGCATCTTGTCAATAGCGGCAGCTGCTGGAAAAAGTCTAGGCTGTTTGTTTAGGGCTAGGAAGTATTTTTCTCCGCATAACCTTCTCACTCTACAAGGCTCAGATGATGCCTAGCCTCGAGAGTTGCTCACACGCTTGGGGTGATGCCGCCCCGACTACATTATTTATGCTCGATCCCGTCCACAGAAACGCTGTCCGACTGATCAATGACTATTCTCTAAGAGACAGTCTCGGGACCTTTTCTCACCAGCGGGCCGTCGGCGATATAGCTCTCTTCTATCGCTACACCTACGGCCATCGAGTTCTCCTCAATGATGCCACTGCGCGATTTGCCTGCAACATGGACCCGCCTAACTTTGGCCTCCGATCCTAACCGTTTCGAACTCCGTACGTCTAGAACTGGCCGATACGCCCGCTCCTTTGTCTCGAGAGTGTCGAGATTGTGGAAAAATCTACAACAGGAAGCTTTTCTCAGTTCTACTAACCTTGGGCAGTTCAAAAATTGGATTAACTAAATTTTTTTTGGGACCCTCATAGCAGCCGCGGAGTCCTGGCATTTAGGCTTCTGCCTGCGCGGCTGCTGCGGTATAAAAAACTACCATTTTTACTCTCTCGAGTTCATCTTCTGCAAAAAATTTCACAATAAAATGGACGCTTAACATGAATCCACGAACCATCCATACTCCAAACTCCCCACCACAATTATTAGGATTCGAATTTCTGGAGTGGAAAACGTAAGTGCGATGATCTGTATTCCTGCACTACCGATATTCGAATCCGAGTGCTATCGTTCCTTTCGATTTTCGAATCCATGCGGCCTCATTACTTTCAAGTAGTTCTTTCAAGTACTAGCCAGTCTTACGAATCGGAATCGCAACTACCGGAATCGGTATCGAAATCGGTATCGAGATTATCGGAATCGCTTGCTTCGGGATGATTGGAATAGATTCCTCCAATTTCCTCCACGGCATCGTTTCTTTAGAACGACTAGTTCACAACCGACCTAACTATTGAGAAGCAAGCTGTAATGTCACATCAACAATGCAAATTGTATTCCAAAGTCCATACTGCGTCCTGTCTAATTATATCCTATGTAATTGCGGTTATCCATTTAACCCACAGAATTTAACCGCATTTTAACGAAGGTGTACAATATACGCTTAGCTTGTTATCCCGAATACCGAGCACAGGATGGAGGATAAATTAGTGGTAAAATGCCTGTGGACGATCTCTACGGAAATATGAAATTGATTTCGAAAATGTACCATTGAGGAACGGTTTGATGTCAGGCTTTTGTTACCCGTGGAATGATAAGAGAGGTCGAGTGTTGTTTTCAGGGTGTTACGTCGCTGGTAATATATTCGTTAGAGCATATATTACGATAACAAATTAAGTCACAGCTATACTGACATAGAGAAAAGGACACCCAATAATTAGTATTACAAAGATTTTCTAGGTATATGTTGGTTTAGGTTGAGACAAAAGACGATTCGTTTTTCAATCATATCGATAAAGTGGTTATTGTGATATTGTCTGTTCTTACCAAGAAGTAAGTGTGTTTTGTAGCTACGATTCGGAATCGTAATGGTGCGTTCCGCTCAATATTTGGACTGTGTAATACAGAACTAAAGTTTGAAGTAACTTTTTCTGCTCTATGACACTTTTCAGAACCTACTCTTTTTTCTTTCGAACAAGCTAAATACGAGATTTAAAAAATCCAGACAGTATAATAGCATATAAACCACAGAACTATCAAAATCAAACACCAAACGCTACTAATGAACGCACCTCGATACGTCCATCTCTCCTCCCCCTCTCTCTCTCTCACTATATATATATATATATATATGGATTAGGCAACTGTAACTTAAAAAGAGAAAATGATCCCTGTCAGGGATTCCTATCGCATGTACGCAATACGCAGTTGGATACTCATACACATCTCGCCAGCTACGGGGAAACTAATAAATACAGCCTACATATCGTTACCCTAGAGCAGTGGTCGCCAATCTTTTTAGTGTGTTGAGCTACTTTGAGAATATAATAATCAGTGAGCTACCTACCTACCGTAAACCAACCTAAATGAAATTTGTATGCGACATACATGTGTTATTTTACTAATACTAATACATACTAATAAACTTAAATAAACTAACAACTAATAGATACTACATAACTACATCCATTCCTACCAATCGTAGGAGTTTGAAAAATAAAAAAAATCAGCTACAATGGCATGTTACATACGATTTAATAAGGGTAACTAAAAATAAAAAAAGCCACGCACTATTTTAAACAAAAACATGTCCAAATAAACAATGCGAGTTCAATGACAATTTTTTAAGCATGTTTAAATACATGCCCGCAGTACACCAATCCAATTAAAATGCAATTTTGCCAAAATAATTCTTAATAATATGATTTTTCGTTAAATATTTGTTTTCTAGTAGTTTTCTGCATATTAAACTAACAAAACCTGTTTTATTTTTATTTCCTACCAACTTTCGTTAACTACAGTTACTAATTTAGAAGGAATAGAAAGTTGTATGTTACTTTAGCTGTAATAACGTTTTTTGTTACTGTGCCATAGTTGAATTTTTTTTTGGATATGCAAAATCTATAGCAAAAATCAAATTTGATGTGGTTTTTGGTTATATATCAAATACTTTGCCGGTACAGAATGTTATCCCAAATCTACAACAACGTGCTTTTCTTTGTTATGGCATAGCAGCAATCATATTTTTCATCTTTGTTTTTCTCAAAACTTAATTACCAAGGAGGACGAATTTAGGATTTTGTCTAGGGGGGGGGGAGCGCAAACGATATTTAGGGCTGGTATTTTTTCAACCTCAGCAGAACTTCTAGAATTTATCCTATTATTGCTCCTTAAATCCATTGTGTGCTATCAGGTCTATTGCAGCTTGGAAAAAAAACATGGAAAATGCTCAGAAATCGTTAGAAAGGCAACATTTTATTATATGAGAACAAAATTTTTGTTGGGTAGCCAGAATTACGTTGCGCCATTTTGAAGTCAATCAAGTCGATTTGTTGCCTTGGTACTAGATCTTCTGAAATTCTACCCATTGAACACCTCTGGTACATTATGGGAAGAATATTACTCCGTTTACCTCATCCTTCAATGACTATCCTTTACGATCGGTTACGATGCCTAGAGTACGGAGACCTGTACGATTTCGTCAACTTAGTGAGTTTGATAGGGGCCGTATAGTGGGACTTCGGGAAGCTGGACTTTCTTTTCGGGCAATTGCAGTTAGAGTGCAAAGAAGTGTAGACACTGTGATTAGGTGTTGTCAGGCATGGCTTCGAGAAGGCCGTACGCAAAGAGCAAGGGGCACTGGACGCCGCCGTAGAACAACAGACCGTGAAGATCGCCGCCTAAAATTATTGGCCTTAAGGGACCGTTTCTCCACTACCAGGTCAATTGCAAATGAATGGTTTGCAGAACACGGAAGACCTATTGGCATGCGAAGTGTTTACCGACGAATGAGAAGTTTTAGCTTGTTTTCATACCGGCCACACTGGGTCCTCCCTTTAACTCGAGAACACCGACGTAATCGACTTGAGTGGTGCAGACAACGGTCACTCTGGGATCAGGAATGGAACAGTATTGTCTTTAGTGACGAGTCTCGATTTTGTTTAGGCATGCACGATGGTGGTGCCAGGGTTAGAAGGCGACGTGGTGAAAGGAGGAATCCACAGTTTTTTGTTGAAAGACATGTTCATCACACTGTTGGAATTATGGTTTGAGGTGCTATAGCTTATGGTTCCAGGTCACCTTTAATCTTCGTCAGAGGTAACATGAACGCGCAGCGTTATATCCACGAAGTTCTAGAACCCCATCTTTTACCCTATCTTGACACCCTGGCAGATCCAACTTTCCAATAAGATAATGCCCGACCACATGTTACAAGAGTCACAATAGA